GGCGGCGGCTGCATTTCCGATGGAGGCGGAAATGTTGTGGGCCCGTGTGCTCAGATTTGTGTGCACGTTACAGAATCCCAGGTAGTCAAAATTTGCGGAGCCCTCCACTACGGTGTCTCTCATATACATATGGTGGTTTGGGGACGTTAAACTTCACTAATCAATCAATCAAATCACAAAAGCGCTCAAGATAATGTAAAAAGAAATGACGTTCTGTGTGAAATTATACGACATATGTGAGACACGCTGTCTGGATTAATATTGTCAAGGTGGGCTCTTTTAAGCGAACCTAAATCTAAGAGCACGGTCGAGGCAGTCAGAAAACTCCAACCAAAAATCGTATTGCAGCGCTTAAGCCAGCGCTTGGTCTAGATTCGAAACGTCGGTTTTCTGAATACAATTTTTGGTTGGAGTTTTCTCATTGCACCATTCCTATGCCAACCAAGAAGACTTCTCCAGAATGTTCACTTTTATAGGAACACGGGTGTGTCGGTACAAATATCGCCCAATAGTAAAATTACGCAAGACAACCAAATTCAACGAGCTCCGTGTCATTCAAATGAAGTACCGAACTGTCGGAATTTACTATACAGCAGCGTCATGGGACTAGGACCACAATATAAAAGGTTATCTCAAGCACAATTAAAGCTCGTCGAATAACGGATAACCAAGAACGCCACATTTTTTTTAAGTGGACACCTAACAACAACGCAAAACTTCTGTTTATCCCTGAGTCGCAAAAATACTGCATTCACACAATATTTACTATTCGTCATGTTTGGGACGACGCCAAGTTCCCTGCACGACGTGCTTCAGCTCAAAAGCGGCACCGGCATCAACATGATCCCGGCGATGAGAGGCTACGACGACGATACACATCACTCTCGCTAAGTGCTCGACCTCACCTTATTGCGGTACATATACAGCCGAGCAAGGCCAAATGCTTTTGTAGACAGTGCTAAGCAAACGTACAAGCAGTTACATTTGCACCAACAGCTAGAGTGGGACAAACCGCCCTTTGTGGGCGAGCATGAGGTACGCGCACTTGCAAGCCTATGTGGATAGCAGACGACGCAGGGAGCAATCCCCACTAGGTGCGCTTCAGCCAGTGACCACCAGGCGGCGACTGGCTTCCGCCTCTCAGTCGTGTTAGGCATCGAGGCATTTTAGTCGCTGACACCGAAGAAAAAACGCTTTTCGTGTATTAGTAAAATAAATTTTTAACAATATACAGAGTGAGACCACCATTGCCGTAAGACGACGTTTGGCAGGTGAGAAAACACGCGAAAAAAAAAAAAATGTCACCCTGAAAATTTCTGCACCAAACACCACGGAGTCATATTTAGACGGCCTCTGCTAGTCGGTAAAAATGAAGCACATTGCCCTCTGAAGGGGCCTCTGACTTAAGATACCAATGTTTGAAAAACTTTGTTAAGGATATGTCGCCAAAATAGGTGAAGTGCACTGTGAAATCCATGAAGACACTTGGAGATTTCTGGCAAAAATTAAAAAAAAAAGATTTGGCCTTGATTTTCTCCTCCATTGATGAACATATCAAGGTTAAATGAGTGACGTTAGAATTCTCGTAGTACACCTTATTGGTATAAACCAATTAAGAGTTTCACTTTGGTGTCCCTATATATAAAGTAGTCTTGAAAAAATACGCGGGAAACTCTGCACTGTGACGTGCTGACGGACTAACTCAGGGCATAGCCTGGAGGCACTGCTCAGGGCTGTCCAGAAGGAATGTGTGATGGCTGAGGGGCTTTTACTGTCTGTCCCGACGTGGGAGCAGCCAGCGTCAGTCTTGGACTGATCATCAGGACCAAAACAAGATGATCCATACCGGTTAACTCTCGCCGACATGAGCGATGCATTGTTCATCGCATGGCTTCGTCGCGTCGCTTCAATGAGGCATGTACGCCCTAATAAAGGCGTAACTTTTTTGGCTCTGGCGAGAATCTAAAATCAGGAGGAGATGAGATGGTGCAAGTAAGACATAGGAAGCCTTCATGTGCGCGCTGCCTTCACGCGCATGAGGGCTCCTAGTACGGCATAGACTGCTGCGCGGCGCACGAATCATCTCCACCACGGCCGCCTGGATTGGGCGGGGGTGTGGGGGCTGGATCGGGCGCGCGCCCCGCCCAATCCAGGTGGCCGTGCCTCCATACAGAAACGGCTGCGGCGAAGCACGGAATTGACGTCATGCACTTTTTCCGGTTAGGCGTTTCGTTTGAATCGCTCCAATAGGACATGGTCGCCGAGTCGGCATGCGATGACGCCACGACGCGGCCTTCAGTGTGCCTCTTTATCGGCCTCCCGTCACCCGCACTTGCTGCTGGTGGTGGTCCACCAGCAGCAAGTGCGGGTGGACCGGGTGCGGAAGCACCAACTCGCCCAACTTTTCACTTTACTGGGTGGTGGTCTTGTCTGCAGGCCCTTTGATACGGGATGATTGATGATCTTCGATGAATTGGCTATTTTCACAATAATATACTGTTTTGCGAATTGATGGTCTTCATCGGCGAAACGCAGCAGGACACGCTAAATTCAAATGCAGCTGGCTGCATCGTTTTCTCGGGCGAACGCATCAAGAATGTTCATCGCACATTTTATCAAAGTTCTCATGACAAAAGCACACTGCGTCGTATCCACGACAAATATGCGACAGGAAACCTTTTTATGTCCCTCTGCGTACCGTCATCCTTAGAAGGAGTTATCGGCAAGCCGCACTAAAATACTGACGTGCCACCGTAATGCTCTAGGAGATCAGCAGTTGATAAACGATATACAAGAACAAGTGCTGACTGCGTGAGCCCGCCTACTGTTACGTTTGGCCCGGCAATTCGTCTGGGCAGATGCCGCTGTGCGTAAGCCGGTCTACTGGGGAGGCTCTCAATCCCTTCGGCGCCCTGTCTGCCAGACGCTGTCGCAGATTTCAGCAATTACCCAGACCATGCGGCAAGAGAAGGCGTGTTCCTGACTTTCAACTACGGACCCTTTCGTCGTCCCTTCGAGAAACAGCGGTGACTGATTCCCTCGGCGACTCATCTGGCGAGGGGGAAGCTGTTGTGACCGGCCCCAGAGCTGACGGGGGAGCGGCGCTCTTTTAATCCTCAATCAAGTAGACGACCGGCCGGCTGCCTATGCCCGCCAGGCATTGTCCCTAGTAGCCGGAGGATGAGACGCCGTGTCGCCACGACGCCGTAAACCGTTCGAGAGAGTACATCAAAGACAGCATCTTCCTTGGAAGAGACTGTGGCGGCCGCCGCAAATCGCCCCGCTAATTAAGCGATCAGATCGGCGGACCCTTTGATGTATGCTGTCAGGAGCTTGGCACCTCTCGACTAGCAGCACACACACGACGAGGAAGAGCCCTGCTAGCGCCACCTTGCAGTGCAGGGATCACGACATAAAAAAATGGCAGCATATCCAAGGAGTGAATGGTAGAGAGTGAGGCGAAGCATTCGTCCGTCCATGCGTCCGTCTGTGTGACCGTCCATGCGTCTGTTCGTGCGCCCGTCCCTGCGTTCGTTCATGCATCCGCCCCTGCGTCCGTTCATGCGTCCATCCATGCATCTGTCTGTGTGTCCGTTCGTCCATCTATTAAACACTCCAAGTCCCACCATCTCGCATCTTTTTATCATATATTTTCCATATAGAAGCACCACCATTCAGTGGACATTCCAAGGACTAAACGAGAGGTGGCACACGCACACTTTCTTACGGCTTGCGCTTCGGGTCTACTTCCCACCTTCAACCACCTTGAGTTCATGGTATATACTAGTTCACTGTATTCATGGCACTGCGGCGCAATGCTCGCTAAACCTTTCTAAAACCAAGGAGGTTACGCCCAGCGAGTATAACGTAGCAACCTTTTCCTGTCAGATAGTTCTCAATGTACATGCCAGTGGCTGCTAATGTGAAATGAGAGACAGGAGGATTCAGCTTTTAATTTCTTACGGCTTGCGCTTCGTATCTGCTTCCCCCCCTTTAACCTCCTCGAATTCATTCATGGTATATACTAGTTCATTGTATTCATGGCCCTGCGGCTCAACGCTCGCTAAACCTTTCTAAAACTAAGGAGGTTACACCCAGCGAGTATAATGTAGCAACCCTTTCTTGTCCGATAATGCTCAATGTGCATGCCAATGGCTGCTAATGGGGATCGCAGCGTGCGCGTTGACTAAAAGCCGAATGCTCCTGTCTCTCATTCCCCATTAGCAGCCATTGGCATGTACATTGAGCACTATTTTTTATTGTTAAACAACGCACAGAAGAAATCTCTCACCGGCACCACCTTGGAGGTCAAATGTTATACCTATTTCGGGTATGTGCCACTGGTGGTTACGTACTACGAGGGACGCACAAGCCACGCCATAAGGAGCTTCGCCCCTAATATTGGACGTTCACATGGGCCGTGCATGCTCGTCCCCCTCACCTGTTGTGTGTGTGTGTGATTGGTGTTTCACTCGGAGAGTAGGAGCCCGACAGGGCTTAAAATGACGCCGCATAGTGCTGGACGGCGCTCTGAACTATGTAACGGTTCAACCACCACGCTCGTGGTTTGTTAAACCACTAACCCTTCTTTGCTGTAAATACGTGTAAATAATACCATAAACCTGCTTGTTTTCAATATCCTTTTCTTGTCCGCGTTTATTTCCTCCACCCGATGTTACGCCATGCTACCACAAGAGACCGGGTAGTCCCCCATTCGCAACAACTGGTGGCAGTGGTGGGATGCCATCAGCAACTTCCTCCTTCGACGTTACACTACCTACAAAACAGTGCCGAACAGTTTATCTGCTTTGCTGAATAACACGCGCGGCCTGTGACAACTCGGCAGCATTTACCAAGGAACGGGTGAGAACGGCCGTATGTGTTCGAACTTAGCGAAAAAGCCTGCAACGCAGGAGTTTTGGCACTCGGAGATCACAGGCTTCGTAAAAACACTTCGCAGCCGCACATGGGTTTCATGTGCGTCCGAACGTTCACACGTAAACTGTTCATAGACATTTATTTCATCGTCGACCTTGCTCTTCGCGACAAGCAAAATAAGGCACCCGGCAACAAGGATACTTTCACCTTCGACGAAACCACGCTTTGACATCGCAATTTAAAAAATGCAGTGCGTGCAACAGCAAAATTATGGACCATCTCCCCGAAGGGAACCCTGATGGGATTCGAAGCAGCTGCGGTGCGCACGGCATTGACCCGGCTGAAACAGGCGTCGACGCGGGTGCTGGAAGAATGGTTTGAAGCGAATGTCCATGTAGCGTTTACTCGAGTGAAAGTTCGTTTGAAACGCCAAGACACGGAAGGCGGTTGGGTTTCGGGTGTGTTTCATCGCAGATAAACGAGTCGAAAGAGCGTTTCCATTCGACGTGTGGTCACGCGTTGCGGGCGGTGGAGAGGGCGAAGCGAGAGAGGCGTTGTGCGAATTGGAGGAGGAGCTGGTAGCTGCGGGCGCTGCGGCGAGCGTGGTTCGAGTGAGGGAGAGTGACGTCAGCGCCCACTGTGACGGGAGCGTGACGTCAACGCGCAGCTGCGGTGCGACCTACATGGCACCGCTTCCACACCTTTGGCGAGGGGAATGCATTGAGGCGTGCCGTCGAAAGACTGTCTACCGGTCCCTACCTAGGTGAAGCCGCCAGATTGATTGGCGGGGCTTTCGGAACCGCTTTCTTTTTCTCAAGACCTAAATAAAGTTCATACTCAGTTTTCGTATGGACGCACGTACCTACGGCGTTACTCACGTGAGTCATATAGTTTTTTCACATCCAATAACCAGTTCATACTAAGAAACTTTATAGCGAACACACCTAGATGAAGCTGTGGCGCGGTGGACGGCTGCGCTGCGCAGCTCCAATCTCCAGGATCAACTGCGGGACATCCAGCAAGTCCATGAGGCAGCAAGGTGCAGACAGGGTTTCCGGTCCTCCTCTAGAGCTGCTAGGCCCAGGCCACAATTTTGCCGTAGTTTTAAAGTTGTTACCACTACGACTACGCATCGCAGTACCATCTTTGCCGCTGTTACATTTCGCAGCCGCAGCGGCCCATGGCAGCCCCTGGGTTTAAAATGCTTGCGATATGTGTTTAACTATGAAATTTACGATGACTGCCAAATCGGCATGTTGAAATCATGATGAAACAAGCACCAAAAAGTACAAACACCCAGAAAGGTCACCAGATGAGTGCTTACTAGCAACCGAAAATGTTTATGTCAGAACGAACACTTTATATGCATAACCACATTTCACGTTGTTCTGCTAACAAATGCGAAATGTGCTTTTTTGTGCAAAACATAACACAGTGCATCACTTTCTCTACGTTTTCTTTTCTTAGTTTTTGGGGGCATAACACGGGTTTTTTCCAGTTGTGTGCCATCAAATATGGGAATGGTCTTTACAGCGAAAGCTGCTATGAGATCAAAACTCGGGTCACGCAATGCCGTAGTTGTCCGCCGCCGCCTTTGGTGTCCGTAACTACAAAGCAGAAAATTAGCAAAATACCTAGTACCAATGACACAGTGGGGCTCGAACCCAGGTCCTCTGGGTGTCAGTCCAGATCTACCACTGAGCCACGCCTGTGCTGGGGACTTTTTAGTAAACTTGCCTTGGGCAGGATTGATGTCGGGAAAGAAATTGCGTCAATACGACTTATAAAGCGTTTCAAAACAGCGAAAGAACAACCAGCCCTCGCACTGTGTGAATAGCGTAACGAGTGGGTCGTACATATAAGTGACGTAATTTCCATGCAGCACAGAAGCCACTTCTGTATATGGGGCTGTCTGCTGCACTAGGCGGCGCGGGAGACGCTGCGAAAAAGTAATGCAATTGGTATCACTGTCGATAATTTAAAAAATCAAGGCGGGAAAAGTTGCAGAACGTAACTGTAGAGTGGCAGAAAAGAGACGTTCTTAAAAAAAAATCCGGAAGTCTACTCGCTAAATAAAGGCGCATAGATAAACCAAGACGATGCGTCTGTGTTTGTACGCCTTGTATTTTCAAAATGAAAAGAGCAGACTTGAGATGGCTGACGTCCAAATTAAGCTAGAACATCTATCTCTATGTGTTTCTCGCAAGTTGCACTTCCGCACTCGACGGTGCTTTGAAGCGGCCTCTTCCGAACGTAATAGTACATGGCGACAAAACATGCTACGCACAGTAGCACCGCCACGAAGCACACGTAAAGAAACAAATTTGGATGGTGATCTAAAAATTGACCGACTAGAAGAGGCGGCGATAGCGCGCCGATACCAGCCGTGACTATAACGACGGACATCATCCTGTTGCTAATATCGACGTAAGAGACGGTCCAAGCGACCACGGCCGCGTAAACGGGCGCTTGGCCGACGCCCATTAACGCGCCAGAGGCCCAGAGCACGGCTTCGTTGACGGAGCCCCAAACCACGAACATCGCGGCTGTGACGACTAGGACCACGTGAGAGAGCACGAGCACCCGAAAGGGCGACATCTTGAGGGTGACCAAGGCAGCAGCCAAGCGACTCGCCGCGAAGCAGAAGAAGTAAACAGCAGCTACCCGAGCCGCCATCGACTTGGTCAAGTGGAGGTCGCTCTTGACGGCGAACGCGGTGAGCATCTGAGACGTCGTGCACTCCAACGCCACGTAGACGCAGACGTAGGCGCTCAGCAGGGCGAGTAGGATCCGGCCGAAGCGAACGTCCTCCGAGGACTCCTTCCTGCAACCCGTGGCGGCGTTATCCTGCTTAATGTCCGAGCTGTCTATCAGGTAGAGCATTACCATGGCAACGACCAGGACTAGATGGAAGGCGCTGGCTATGCCGAACGCGTAGTAAATGCGGCTTTCGCCCACTTCGAACGCGGTGTCGTTCGAGTCAGTCAGGTTTAGCGACGAGGTGGCATAATGACCAGTCGACAGGAAGGGTTCGGCGAACAGCGGGGCCACGAGGCAACCGACTCCAAAGGCCAGATGGAAGACTTGCAACGCCGGGCTGCTGTTCTGTGGCCAGAGCTTGATGATCCACACGTTCGCACCTGAACAGAGAATTTCTGTCACTTGTATTGAAATTGCTGCATTGCATTAGCAAAACAAAATGCACACAGTACTCCCAGATGAAACAGGACTACAGCTTACCGTCTTAGATTAGAATCAAATCGCCGTTATTTTCGGCTCGGACACTTGTAGATCAGAGCCAACATTATCGTGAGAAATCAGATTCGACACGGTATGAACGAATCGTTTGACTGGCCAATGTGATGTCTTGTTTGATAAAGATTGTTATTTGTGTGTGTATCAATATTCAAGTGTACATACTTTATGTTACTTAATTGAAATGGTATTTTTGTAACCCGTATGATTTTGCCTTTAGCGTAGCGTTTTTTTTCTCTATAGTTCTGCAATCTGCTGCTGTCAGTTGTTCAAGGGGGCAAGACTCCTGACAAGCTTGCGGGGTCTCGACTTGGCGAGCGAGCGCCACGCCACGCTCTAGGAGTGAGAGGACACAGTTGACATGGTCGGTCCAAACCAAACACACATTTATTTAACCAATTTAGAACGACGATATCGTCCGCCGAGCAATTATAACATAAATCGTGATCAACACGCTAGGACATCTCTACACAATATTACCATACACTCCATGACAAACACAATAACACACCCAAGGCGTCGTCGCCAACGCTTGACTTACCACGAGGGCCCCCAACGTGCAGCCCGCGGTGCCACGCACCGGGGACCCACGCTAGAGACAACCGTTCGCGGCAACCACCACGTGCAGAAGAGCCTCGCGCAACTCTCGCCCGCCACCAAGACTTGCCTACCGCTAGGGGTACCAGCCGGCGCTACCACTCTACCAACCACGCTGATGATAGTGGTGATCACCGCAAACACAATGCCACCTACCGCCCGGTGGTTGTAATTCGAAATGCGGCTTTTGGGCGAGACACGTACGCCACGCAGTGAAAACAACTTTACAGAGGGTGTCAGCACCCCCACATTCCCCAACCTTAGTTCAAACCATATTCCGAAAAACAAAGAAATCAGCTACACAAGATCTAACAAAAAATCACAACCCATGTCCCTTCATAATGTCCGTGCACCACGACACCGCCGCCGGTCGTCACTGCTGCACTGTAGGGCTTGACTTCACCTCAGTACCGGTCCCACAACAGCAACGTTGCCGTCGGCGCGACGAACCATCACTGGCGCCGAGACGTCTTCCGGTTGCGACCAGCACTCCCGAAGGCGCCGGACTGAAGGCAGTTGCTCAGGTCTCAGGCAGCTCCATCGTCCGACATTACGACCGCATTTCTGGCCAGTGGCGCTGACGATGTGCAGAAGACAACAAGCCGTAGTTTGCAACCCTCTCGCTGCGCACATTCCAAAACACTCTATAGAAACAATGGAGCAGGGCATAGGGAAGGGAGCTTCGGGCTTTTCGCCCACGTGGTACGATGGTCAGTACTGCTAGCTAATAAATCGGTGGTGGCCGAGACGCCCAGCTCAAAAATAAAACAAAGGTCACTTTTCCTAATTCGTGCATCGCAAGACAAAAAGTGAGGGAAGCAGAGTGCAAGACCTCAACGCCACGATCCACCTAGTTGTGCCACGTGCGACAGGCGGCTGCACAAATTCTTAGGCCTAATGAGTCGCTCGACAACGACCGGCATCCACCAAGCACCCAGCCTAGGCGCAGAAAAGGCAGCCGCAAGGAGACATTCACTCCGTGAGATGGCCTATCGCTCGCCGCACACAGCAGCTTACCGAGCGATCGGCGTCCACCACTCGAACAGTGTTACGACGCCCCGGCGTCGAGCCGCAATACCAGACAGCAACGACGCCCAGCTCCCTGAGCCCAGAAGAGATAGAAGAAGCTATTTACAGAAAATCGGACCACCCATGAGGCTTCACAGTCCCCCTAAGCCTACTCTACTACGGCTCTAACAAAAGCTTGTACCGAACCGCGAAAACTGTCGTCCGATGCTCCAAGAGCTCCACCTTGGGTAGCCAGTGTGGGGTCTCCACTTGGCGAGCCCCACGCTCATGGAGTGAACCGACACAGTAGATACGGTCGGAACAAACCCAAACAACAACATACACTACATGACAAATACAATAACACGACAAACACACAATATGATGACAAACACAATAACACACCCAAGGCGGCGTCACCAACGCTTGACTTAACGAGGGCCCTTGACGCGCCGCCCGCGGTGCCACGCACCAGGGACCCACGCTAGAGACAACCGTTCGTGGCAACCGCCACGCGCAGAAAAGCCTCGCTCAACTCTCGCCCGACACCAAGGCTTGCCTTCCGCCAGGGTCACCGCTGGCGCTACCACTCTACCAACCATAATGATGATAATGGTGATCAAAACGAACACAACGCCACCTACCGCCTGGCGGTTGCATTCCGAAATGCGGCTTTTGGGCGAGACACGTGCGCCACGCAGCGCAAACAACTTTATAGGGGGTGTCAGCCCCTCCACAAGCTGCAGTAAATTCTAGTCCCGTCTCCTCCTTTTCATTGTGAAAAAAATACAAGATGATTGATTGATTGATTGTGTCTAGGGGTGTAGCCAATGGGGAGGGTTGCATCCCCTTCCTACAAAGTTTTTCGCGAGAACCTCCCCCCCCCCAAAACCACTTACTCGCTTTTTCTAAGAATGATGTCTACACACGGAAAAATGTGTCGCGGTGTTTGTCAAGGCTATGGCAGTCTCAGAATTCGGGCAGGAATCTCAGCCGCGAGTGTTGCAAGCTCACTTGGCGACGGTATTAATACTGCAGTGGTGGTGTGATAAATGATGCAGCGGCGAGATTCGTTCCAGTGGTACCTGCAGGAACAGATTTCCTAAGAGTCGACCATTACAATATTGTTCACTAGGCAAAGACTCATTTTAATGGTAACAGTTCCCAGGTCTAATTAAGCACGTTCGAGCATATTACAGCGTGAATCTTGGTACGTGTGCTAAGATATGTTCAAGCCAGACCAACATTTATATTGAACCTTCGCACGTTCTGCTAACAATTAAACACACACACACACACACACACACACACGTGCACGCGCCACAAAACATTTAAATGATCCACCAAACATCACTTGCATGTGACTGTAAAATATATTGACACCTATCTTTACTAGGCCCTAATGGCTATAGGCACTCAGAAGTGTCTAATGACGAAGGTGCAACACAGGCAAGTGCGCAAGCCAAACATAACCTTTGAAAGGCCCACTAACATACTCGTCATGTAACGCAAGCTGATAAATAAAAATATGGTGGTCATAAACCTGATTCATTGATTGATTGATATGTGGGGTTTAACGTTCCAAAACCACAATATGATTATGAGAGGTGCCACAGTGAAGCAGCCCGTAAATTGCAATCACCTGGGTATTTTTAACTTGCGCCCAAATTTGAGCAGACGGGCCTACAGCATTTTGATGATGTGTGGTGCTTTATGGTGCAAGGGCCAATTGATGGCCAAAGAGTGCCATTCCCATGACTAGAGATGTGAACAGGGATATGGTTTGTGGCTGTATAGGGGCCTTAAAATTCCTCGCACTAACACGGGTAAAAACATAAGTATTAAAATTATGACTGTGGCGTGAAATATGTGCAGTGAGAGTGGATGTCGAAAAGTCATGATAACAAGGCCATGGCGGAGATGTAGTCACCGCAGCCACGACCACGGTACAGAGGTCGTGCTACGGATCACCTCGATATATGGGGTAAAAGCTATAAACAGCTTTTAAAAACGGGAAGAGTGATTGCAGATTAAAAAGCACATCCCTACCCGATGAGAATTCCAGGGTGTAGTAGGAGCTGCTGTCGGTAGGGCAGTAAAAGGTGCTTTTTTCTTAGAGCATCTAACTCATTACACTGGACGAAGATGTGGAGAACCGTAAGCGGTTCTCCACATCTCGCGCACAATGGTGGATCACCGGCAGATAGAAAATATGAATGTGTATAGTATGTATGTCCTGTTCTTAGTGTTGTAAATGTTACATCTGTGTGTTGCAATTTTGATAGTGGCGGCCAATGACCAAGCTGTGGCTTAATAACATGTAGTTTATTACTTGTGTGTCCCACGTGTTTTGCCGATAATTTCTGAGGTTGCGGCGTGTCTTTATTCAGTAGCTGTGTCAAAGAATGGGCAATGTGGGCGAAGTTGTGAACGAAACGCCGGAAATAGAAAACAGAGGCCGACAAAGCTCCGTACATCTTTCGTAGAACGTGGTGTGGGAAATCTTTGACGACGTGGATTTTGTCGGGATCGGGTTGCACGTCTTTAGCAATGACAAGATGGCCTAGCACAGTGATTGTTTGGCGGCCGAAACGGCATTTGGAGGAGTTGAGCTGTAGGCCTGCCCTTCTGAAAACTTCCAGAAACAGCTGACAGATGGCTAAGGTGACTTTCGAATGACGGCGAGAATACAATGACGTCATCGAGATAACAGAGGCACGTTGACCATTTGTAACCCCGTAGCAGGGAGTCCATAATTCTCTCAAGTGTAGCGGGAGCATTGCATAAGACAAAGGGCATTACCTTAAACTGGAAAAGTCCATCCGGTGGAACAAATGCAGTCTTTTCACTGTCTAATTCGTCGACAGAAATCTGCCAGTATTCTGAACGCAGGTCGATAGAGGAGAAGTAGGCAGACCCATGCAGGCAATCGAGGGCATCGTCAATCCGTGGCAGTGGGTAGATGTCCTTATGCGTGACCTTGTTTAGGTGACGGTAGTCGACGCAGAAGCGCCAGCTGCCATTCTTTTTTACCAGAACGACTGGAGAGGCCCATGGACTGCAAGATGGTTCAATGACATCTTTTGTGAGCATTTTATCAACTTCACGTTGGATGACGACGCTCTGCATGTGACACGCGATAAGTACGTCGTCGGATTGGGCTGGCGTCTCCAGTGTTGATCCTGTGAGCAACAACTCATGTCTGACCTAAAGGGCTGTCAGAAAAGTCGAAGATGTCCCTGAAGGATGCCAAGTTATGCCGGAGATCGGCTGCCTGTGCTGGAACGAGGTCTGGCGCGATCATCTTGTCAAAGTCGGCATCAGTGGAGCTCTGTGAAGCGGATGAAGTTGCGAGCAAAGGACCATCTGCAATGAATGCAGAAACAAAATGTTCACTGATGGAAGAGATGTTGGCTAGAGTCATGTCATCTGGAACAACTTGAGCGCACTAGCTGAAGTTCAGTATCGGTAGCGACACCACATTATTCGTAATCGTCAACAGAGTATGAGGAAGGGCAACATTTCTGTCTAATAATACGTCCGAAATTGGTGCTAGCACATAATCGCCGTCGGGTACCGGAGAAAAAGACCTCATGGTTATATAGTTACCAGCTTGGGGTGCTAGGCGAACGTATTCGACAGAACACAAACGTGGTTGAGGTGTAGTTGGAGCCTCATAGCAATAAGGTAGGTCAAGCTGAAGCAAGCCTATTCCGCAGTCAATTAAGGTAGAGTGCACGGCAAGAAAGTCCATGCCCAGGATGAGCAACACTAACATGTGCGGAGCACATTCCAAGCACATGGAAAGTTCCACCGTCAGCAACTTGGATGAGCGGCTCTGAGGGCAATATCAAAACCTTTTTAAGGCGGCGGCGAAGCTCCGAGTTCATCACCGAAATGTGGGACCCTGTGTCTACAAGAACAACAACAAGTGCATCATCTACTTTAACGTCTATGAGGTTGCATCGTGTCGGCATAGTCAGAGGATTTGGCTGGCGAATCGTCGATGCAGCATCACCTCTGGGAGCTGCATCGCCTAGTTTTCCCGAGCCAGATGTGCAGTTGGTGAAGGAGGACGGTGAAATTGGGGGGAGCGCGACGATGGGCGACGAGACAGTGCTGAGCGAGGTTGGTGGCCTGGAGTGGATGGTGAACGACAGTGCATCGTCGACGAACCGTTACCACCGGCTGGCCGAGGCGACTCGTGGTGAGTTCCGAAGTGGCCATCATCTGCTTCTGCATGACGGTTGTAGCCATAGGAAGGCTGACGCCAATACCACCTGCTATTGCAATAGCGGGTCACGTGACCGACACGATGGCAGTTAAAGCAAATGGGCCGGTCATCAGCGGTCCTCCACTCAGCGGGATTGCAAGAGCGCACTGGGAACCTCTAGCCTTGGGCGTAGGAAACTTGCGGACGACGGCCAGTCGGTCGGGAGGAGCCGGCGGTGCACACAGATTCCAGGCCAACAATCGAAAGCTCTTGGCGAACGATGGCATGCACTAAAGGCACCATTTAGGAGCTGGACTCACAGGCACGAGAGAAAGTTGAAGCGGGAGACATAGCTTCCAAGTTCTCGACAGATGATCTTCGTGACGTGCTCTGCAGTCAGCGGTGCCTGTGGTACAGCCATGTCTTCGCACGACCATGTTGCTGCGGTGTTGGGAAGTCGAGTGAACTGATGGGAAATACGTCTGCTTTTGGCGGCCTCAAAACGCTGGCACTCTCGGATAATGGCATCTACTGTGTCACAGTCTTTGGAAATTAGCAAATTGAACGCGTCATCACTCCTCCATGCCGTCGTCTGCTTTGCGGCAAGAGCGAGCACGTCCTGTATGTAAGACAGGTACGACTTCGATGACGTTTGAGCGCGAGATGCCAGCTCCTTCTTGGACGCTGTCTTCCTGCCAGTCGATTTGCCGAACAGTGCCCGCATCTTTTCTTTGCACGCATCCCAGCAGCCAATTTCCGCTTCGTGGTTATCAAACCACACTTTGGCTGTCCCCTTCAGGTAAAATAGGATGTTCGCCAGCATGAGCATGTCGTCCCAGCGATAATTCTTGCTTGTTCGCTCGTATAGTGGCCACCATTCTTCAATGTCGACATTGTCGGTCCCGCAGAACGTGCCAGGGTCTTTCAGCTGGGCAGAACAACTGTCGTCGTTGCGGTGACCGCTGTGGAAGCTGGAGCCGGACCCTCTTGTGCCATCGAGGAAGAAACCAAGCGTCGGCCGCTGTGTAGCTCCGTCTTGTTACCCCGCACCTCCACCAAAATGTCACGGGGTCAGAGTAGGCAGAGGATAGAAATATATTTACCGATTGTAGACGGAGTACACAGTGTCCTTGAACCAAGATGACTGAGTGGCAACCACACACGAGCTTTTGTTCAACCGTCATCTTCATTGCCTTTATGGTGCATTCGTTGATGTTAATAATGACTTGTATCATTATATATCTTGATTCGCTTCATATTTTCATTTCATTTCATTTTATTACCTTAAAGACCCCACTTGAGGTATTACATAAGGGATAAGGGGTGGTTTACATATTGGAACAATGAATGCAGGTGTTGTGGTGTGATACAGGTTTGCAACGTGTTTCAGGAATTGGGAATGAGTTGGTACGGCAGCAGCATGGTGAGGCAGGTCGTCCCAGTTTCTGGCAGCCCGAGGAAAAAAATGAGCCTTGAAATGTGACGGTGCGTGTTCGAGGACGGGTTACTTGCAGTTGATGGCCAGTGCTATCAGACGTGCGTGATGATGATGGCGAGATGTAAGGTGGGCAGTTTAGCGAGCTGTAAAAGAATTTGTGAAAAAGAGAAAGCGTGGCACACGACGACGAAAAACGAGGGATGATAAGTTTGATTCTGTTTTAAGAGAGAAATGCTGACGCCATATGAATATGAAGAATGGATGATTCTTGTGGCACGATTCTGTACCGATTCAAGTGCACTGATGATATATGCTTAGTGAGGGTTCCAGATGGCAGCAGCATATTCTAGTTGTCTCTTTGTCTCTTTACAAAGAACAGCACACCGAGCGATTTCTTCAACCGTAGCGATATAACGCACAAGAAATGGACTGAATGAAGGAGTATAGGTGGACATGCTATGATGTAAAATTAAGAATAATATAAACAGTGACCATTATTTTTTACAAGAAATGATATAAACTCTGTGCAAACGACGTTTCTCTTTCACGCAGAAAAGAGACCCATGACATACCGCAATAGTGTTGATTATCTTTTTTTTCAATTCACAGGAAGATTGACACGCGTATAGAGCAGCGGTCTTGTAATAGCCACACTCGCTTTGGTGCCTGGAATTTTCAATTGCCTTCTTCCAACTCGTGAACGGAAAGAGGACCAAGGCTAACCTAAACAATGACGAGTCCCTCACCTGAACTTTTTTTTTCAAGAAGCGCACATGTCTTGTAGAGAGCTCCCTCCTGATGTTTTGAAATACCCCGCCCGGAAAACGTTTCTAGCCAGAGAGGTTTCTGTCAGTTAGCACTGACTAACTGAAGGAAAGGTGTAGTATAGCGCCTGGTTACTATGGCGTCATTATCAAACATTGTCTAGTCTCGTTCTCCTGCAACTCCATCGCGTCTTGGCCCATGTTAAACACGTAAAGACCAATGTTGTTGTCAGGGATCGAGGTTTCCGTGCCTGCATCATGCTCCGATCGGTTTCAGGAGTTCTTTCACCCCACGAGTCGTATTCAGGCAATGCAGAACTACAGCTGGGAACCGTTTTTTCGGATGCTGTAGACTTTTTGCCAGCTGTCGAGTATGCCCCAGGGCAAGCGTCCCCTTTCGAGAAATAATCATCAAGCGTTATTTTACGGCGCTTCGGCGTGGCTATCAACTCCCATAAAAGGGCGCTCATTGACACAGAACATGAACTACCCACCAGTAAGTGTAGGCAGCGTATTTCAAGGGGGTGACTTCACATTGCTACGAAGCAATGCGCCCAGAAAAGCTGAGTTCTGGCAGTGACGCTGAATGCGAGAAACGAGAACTTTAGAGACGATACTTGTCAGTTAGTAATGTTCCGTCTTAAACACTAGCGCTTGTTTCTCTCCTGGAGGAAAGATTCGTCGGTATACATTTCCTCGGCTTCCCTTCAGGTGCCGGTAAGGTAGTGCTTGCCCAGTATCTTAGATTGCGCGCGAAACACCTCGCGTATGTGACAGCACAGCACTCCTACAGAAAGGCGGTGTTCTATTGCATTGTGATGCATACCACACACGTGAATGGACGCTAAGGTGTTGATGCCAGCAGTGAAGTTTTAGCGACTCGCATCAGAATGCCCGAAATAGACAAACGAAAGGCACGGATGGTGCACAGTACATTGTGTTGCATGCGCTAGCAGTTCTCGTCGGAGTTCACGCATTCTGGGAAATAAATTATGATGCATTATGCTCTGAAAAGGACCGGAATTCATTCCGTCATCACTAGTGAACTGATCACTGCAAACATAAATGCACGTACTAGTAAAAGCAGTGTATACAATATGTATCTAGGCTGCGTGGTTAAATATTCTGCCCGGTTCTGAATCTGTTGACGTAAAACGGAATTACGGCTGCACGCTTGCAAACAACGGAAGAAACCTTGCCGGGACACTATCGTTTCAGAGAACAGAGCAACGAAGTCTAAGAAAAAAAAAGAGGACATTACGCCTTTTTGCGCATTTAAGTTTTCTTGCGCATATACTCAACGAACAAGCTACTTCTATATGAGAGTATGTACAATCTGGTCTCAGGTGCATTTTCGATTGAGACCAACTGAACATTTCTCAACGATGATTATGCCCCGCTGCGGTGGTCTAGTGGCTAAGGTACTCGGCTACTGACCCACAGGTCGCGGGATCGAATCCCGGCTGCAGCGGCTGCATTTCCGATGGAGGAGGAAATGCTGTAGGCCCGTGTGCTCAGATTTGGGTGCACGTTAAAGAACCCCAGGTGGTCGAAATTTGCGGAACACTCCACTACGGCGCCTCTCATAATGATATGGTGGTGTTGGGACGTTAAACCCACTTATCAATCAATCAATCAATCAATCAATCAATCGATCGATTAATCAATGATTACCTTGCTCTTGCAGATTGCACGATAAACCTCGACGATTGGAGTAATTCATTGCTATCAAAAGTCACAGTGCAACTGTATATTGTTAACCAAAGTTGCGAGAAGTCGGCCCGAAAATTAACGCGTGTGAAATTGTGTTGCGAACATGCAGCATAACTTACAAAAATGGCTTGATGCGTATCACAAGCAGCTCGGACGCGCCCAGTAAAGTAAAAAAAAAATGTTGACTGAAAGCTATCACTGGGTCAGTCAGGACTGCTTGACATATAGAGCGTAACAT